GCGCGCGCGCGCGTGCGTACAGCATCTTTCCTCCATAAAATATTTCGAAAAGTTCTTTCATTTACTGTACACAAGCAGAAGTAGACGAATGATTGAGATAGCATAAGTTGCTACTCATAAGTACATGCGTCGTATTTCTTTTCTTTTCTTGTTCATGCTGTTTGTCTAATGTTGAAATATTTTGTCAGATAAGATGGCTGCATCTAAATCAGACCGCAACGACTTACGCACTAAAAGCACACCTTTTGTGTACACAGAGAATTGAGAAAGGTGTTTACAATTTTAATGCGTCAATACAAATACGCGTTGAAACGCAGAGAGATCTCTGCGGCCGACCGATTGTACATGGAGACACACGTTTCTTGCGCCTCTTCGCGCGATTTTTGTTTGTTTTTCTGTTTTTTCTATTTTTTTTCTTCGAAGTTGTGCGTCGTAATGTGTACGAAGAAGAGATACCAACTGAGTCGAACGACAATCGCACGGGAGACGAAAAAAGAAAAACCGAAAGACCGCCTGAGCAGTTATACAATCAAACAAATGAGAACGCAGTGTTGTGACAGAAGAGTATTGTGTGTGATTTGTGATGGCGCATATACACGCAATGCACTGAAATTATATACACTATATGCTAGTCTGTGGGACGATACGGCGCTTGTGATACGAACGATTCACATGAAAAGAAAGAGAAGAGAAATGCCGTTTATACAACTTTCAGTTTGGATGCGCTGGCTAGCTGGACGATTACTTGTGACACGCTCTCTCTCTCTCTCTCTCTCTCTCTCCCTCTCCCTCCCTCTCCCTCACCCTCTCTCTCTCTCTCTCATTCTCCTATTCTATTTTCTCTCTCGCACTCGTTGTCTCTCTCTCATATCGGCTAGCCAGGCTGATCTCAAGCGTAGCGCCTCTAGCGCCTCTAGCGGAGAAATATAGTCAACTGAGGTTTTCGTAATGAGGAGACGTTTCTTAAGTATAAATTTACGATTTCGGACTTTGAGTTAAAATATCTCAACTTCTAGAGCATGTAGAGCAAAAGTAAAAACAGTTTTATTAAGTAATGTAAACCCAAGGAATAGATTAAGCACATTTAGAATCTCATCCGTTCAGCCCTTATAGTCGAACGAGGAATTGTGCTTGTGTTCAACTAAAGTCGTCGCGTAAATATACACAGTCGGCCGCGAGCCCGTTGCTTGCGCTTGCACTTGACTTCGCGACACTACCGTGTCGCTTGATGCTTCGCGGTTTACATTCTGGCTGGAAGATGCTAATTTCGTATAATTTTTGTTTTAAACAAACTAGTGGCGCTCAATTAATTCGTTGTATTAAGGAACATATTTCTACTGTGAACAATATAGGTTTCCACATTGTTGCAACAGTTTGCGACCAAGGAACGTGTGCAATAACCACCAGTGCCAGTGCAGTTAATGCCAGTGCAATAACGAAACTGCTATTACGCACTGATATGAAACGAAATTTCCAGAGAAGAACACAAAGTAATGTAACACAACAATGCTATAATAAGTAATATTTACAAGTATGTCCTACTAACATGTGATAAATTAATTGTAATTCGTAGGGCAAACATTCGAAGTAGGAGGTTATGAAATTATTTCATTGTACGTGAAATTATTTCACGATCCACCTCATCTCATTAAAGGGATTAGGAATAATTTGTTAACAAAGGATCTATTGAAGAAAGAAGATATATCTGAAGAAATAATATCGTAGGATATTATTAAAACGGCGTGGATAA